ATAGAGGGATACTCTCTCAGCCTAGACACACGGGGGAGGGCCTAGGCCCTATCCCAAAGGCTATGACAGACTCTGAAGACCCCCACCATGGAAGGCCTCACTCTCCCTGGGGAATAGAAAGGGTATTGGATAGGTAGGGTGTTAATGGGGGGCAGGGGAGGAGGGGAGAGAGGGAACTGGGGTTGATATGTAAAACAATCTTGTTTCTAAATTAAATTTTTTAAACGATTCTTTAAAAAATTCTTTTATTTCAATTATGGCATTTCCTTTGGTCTGATGAACCAAGACCACATGCTAATTAGGGTTTTATATGCAAATTAACTTGCTTACTGGAAATACCACTGCCTTTTCAACTTTTCATGTTTGAGTGGTGAAGGGGGGTGAAAGAACTCCACATTAAGTGAATGGTCACACAGTTGCTGGGGGCTTGTAAGTAAATGCTTGGTCAGGCAGTGTCTTTGTGTCTGGTTGGTCTGGTTAGCATGGTATATGTTACCCCATTCTGGTAGCAGAATCAGAGGTAGGAAAACTAAAATGGCAAGTAAGAAAGTTGGTCTTTGGTTTTCTTTTTACATAAAGAGGTGATTTAATGAATTCTAAACAGGCAAACCTCCTATTTTAAAATGTATCCAAAAAGCATATTCAAAAAGATTATATAGGTCATAATTTATTATAGATATAACAGAAATGATAAGAAATATATGACAATTTTCCTTTTAGAAAAGCAGTTTAAAATTCTAAATAATTCTTGGTAGAATAGAAAATAATAAGCCATTAAAGCTTAATGACATTTATTCTTATATAAATTATGATCCTAAGTGACACAGTTTTATTCTCTAAAAGACTGGTGGCAATGAGCTTATGTCTTTTAGGTATGGTCATCCTTCCATTTTGTCATCACACAGTTACTAATTTTCTAATACTATATATTTGTATTCTTCCCACTTTCCTTTAGCCCATTTCTTTTAGGTTTAGTCAGTTTGGGTTGCTATAATGAAAATACTGTAGATTAGGTGATTTAAGTGACAGACGTATTCCTCAGAGTCCTGATGCCGAGAAAATGTAAGATCAAGAAGCTGGTCTTAGGATATAGCTGAGTTAGTAGAGTGTTTTGTAGTACATGTATGTGAAGTAAGTGCCATCTACTAGCACCCAATTAGCCTGGCATGGTGGCACACCTACATCCCAGCGGGTGAAGGCAGGAGAATCCTAAATTCAAGGTCATCCTCAGATCCATAGCCAGCTTGAGGCTACTCTGAGACAGGATATGAGATCCTGTCTCAAAAAAATGAAACAACCACCAAACCCCAAAACTCCAAGCAGCATTGTATTCAGTTCCCTTCTTGGTGGGCAGACAGTCATTTGCTCACAAGGATGCAGGACAGCAGTCATCTCTCTGTGATGCTTTTTAAGACAGCAGACTATTGAGGAAAGCTCCACCCCCCAGAAAGACTCCCCACAGGCTTTCATCTTCAAATAGCTTTACACTGGGGTTCCAGGTTTCATCATAGGAATTCTGTGGCAACACAAACACCCAATGCACATGTGGATAATGGGAACATGCAGAGAGAACTTTGCCTTAGTTTCCCCGTTGGAATGCAAGCCAGATCATCATGTGTTAGAACCTCATCCCATACAGTTGGATCATTTGAGAAACTGGAAAGATCATCATCTAGATTTGCAGTCACTTAGAACTGCATGCTTGATCAAGTAAGGATGATGTAATATGGCTTCTGCAGAAGACAGAGTTGGGGGTTTTTTTTTTGTTTTTTTTTTTTTTTTTTTTTTTTTTTTGAGCATTCATTGGTACTTGACATTTGATGAAGAGAACATTCTCTCTGTTCCAAATTAGAGGACTGATGCACAGAACATTTTTCCAGAAAATTATTTCTCAGATTGATAATAATTTTGTGAGCCTTGAAGAACCCCAAGCAGAGAGCAGTAATCTTTATCTGCTTTGTTCACTGACAGACCCAACCACCTAAGACCTGTGCCCTGTGAGTGCTCATTGAGTTACTTTTCAAAGGAGGGATTTCATCACTGCATTCTCACATTTGTGGGCACTTCTCTTTTGTCCCTCAGTTGACCTTTAATGCCTCATAACAGTGAGCGCCACTGTTTGTCAGTATATTTCCTCCTTAACCACAGTTTTCTTTTACTCTGGAAAATGTGATCATTTTCTCAACTGCTTGAGAAAGATGGCTTGTGCTTTAGAAGCAAATGCCTTTTTCCTTGACCCTCCCCACTCAATGTCTAGAGTATGCTAATCTTTGTGTTTAAAGGCAAAGTAGAAAGGACTTATCCAAGAATCATGGACCCCTTGTTTTGTAAAGAATTTTAAAAATAATCTGTTCTAACTTCTTCATTTTAAGATTAAGAAAACTGCAGCCCCCAGAGCTTATAGCTCAAGGCCACCCTACTAATTAGTTGTTCTTCAAATACTAGCATCTAAGATCTTAACTCTCACACAGATTTTTTTTCACATACATTATAAATAACTTTTCCCAGGGATTTGATGCCCTACTTAAATCAAAAACCAAAATGAAACAAAACAGACTGCCTCAAATATAAAGAATAAGCTTATTTGTGGGACTAAGGAGTCTTTGAAGAACATGTTTGTCCTAAATTAAGAATGCAGATAGTGCCAACATGTCTACAAACACGTGTAACTCATGTTACTGGTGGATAATCTCTGGCCTAGATCAGTATTTTACCAGAGTTGATTTTAAATTGACTTCCCAATGGTCAAGCAGGGATGCCAGTATAGAATTCTCTCAAGGGATCCAGTGCAAACAATTTGGTACTTAGTGTTTACATATGCTAACTTATTAGACAGTTAAGACTTGGGTGATTATCCAGCTATGTTAGAGTTAGGATTTGTCTGATGATCTGAACATTTAGAGTTTATACCAACACTATTTTTTAAAGAATACTTTCACCAAAGCATTCTTTATAATTTAAGTAGAAATAGATATTTTTTGTCATGCATGCTTTGTGAAGATGCTTAGATTCGTGGCTCCTTCCACCTGCCTCCTTTCCTTCCCTCTTTCTTTCTCTTCTATCCTTCCCGCCTTTACCAAACCCAAGGTGAATTTTTGGAGGAAAGCATATGAGGAAATAAGCTGTCTGAACCAGAATCTCTATCTCCCAATATTACTTTTACAGAGACCTGTATGTCCAGAGCCACCACATACAGCGATATTCTCTCACATCAGCCTTTAGTAACTGCTGTAAGGTAGAAGTATACATTGTAGCATCTTTTCACATTAGGTGAGCATATCAATCCCAAGTGCTGTTTCAAATAAGGCACTAAACAGTTTTTTATCCCAGCATTTGGTATTTAGTAATATTTTTCACATTTTTTGACCTGTATTCCACTTCCAACTGATTTTATAGTAGGTAGGAATTATTGGTAAGCTACATTTATTTCTCTGTATTTCAGTAAGCTGATATTATGCCTTGAATTTATGACTATATCATGAAACATCACTTTGTAAAGAAAGGCAACTATTATAAAACTAATAACAGTACCTAATTAATAAATTGGGAAGTGAATCCAGAATTGAAAATTGTAATAGTGTAAGTAAAATTGGATGATTTAGAAAAGAAAGAAAAGAATGAAGCCTCGATATTGGAATAAGCTTCTACCTGGCAATATGTAGTTACTTATTAAGTCACTTTAGAATACCTTCTCCAGTGAAGAGCAGAGCTAACTCTGGTCACATCCACAAAAGCTAAACCATTTTATAATCAACTTTGTTAAAATAGGAAAGTCTACTTAAGTTCTAGCAGCTGGAGGTAACTCTGTTACCTGAAAAATCCACTACTTCTGCCCAATAAAATGGTCTCCTGGGAGCACAGTGACACATAAGAGCAAAAGCAAGCTGCCTGTTCATTGTAAACTTCATTCTGTTAGCTTCTTAGAAACAAATCTGCGTGGCAGAAATTCCTTGAGATTTTATTGCTGCAGAATAATTTCTTATATGAAAGATGTAGATGCAGGATTCAAAATTTTTATCTACTTGCTATCTATTAAATTGATTCTCAGTATCCATTAAACTATTCTTGAGATTTTAATTAATATTCGGCCCATTAGAAATAAGTACATGTTTATTTTATATGTAAAGAATATTATATTTAAGTAACTTTATTAATATATAAGTCAGCAAAATTAAAATTATTCTGCTAGTTATTAAAAAGTGTAATAAAATAGAAATTTGAATAATTTAATGACCTTCTAGGAATGACCAACCAAGTCCTAAGTAGTCAAGTATTGGACACTTACCTATAGGCACTGGCTGCAAAGACACTCCCAGATACTCAGATTTAACCCAACTTAAAGGAACTTTTGTTTCATTCAACAACATAAATTAACATGACTTTTAAAAGAAGACCATTTCCCTTTTGTTTAAATGTAAATAGCTCAAAATATACTACAATAAAAATATGAAAAGGAGTTTTACCCTTAAAGTTGATAGTTAATCTTATAACAAACTCATAATGGATAAAAGCCAACAATGTATTTTTGACTATAGATGATCCTTAGAAAACAAAGTTCTTTGCAATCTTGTGGAGACATGAAATTTGAAAACTTCAATTTTTTTAATGAAAACTGGTAGTAACTTTATTTACTCAAAAGTATACATTCAGAACTTATCTTGTATAGTGCAATAACCATCAAGCCTCCTCTTCAAATAGTTATTGGTTATTTGTCTTGTCTTTGGCAATTAGGTATTGTTATTTTAGAAATTCATATTTTAATTGCTGTAGTTAATCATCTTTGATGTTTTCACATTTCCTTTGGAAAATTTCCAGGTATTCTACAAAATAAAAAACAGGATGATTCTTTCCTTAGAAGCCTTTCTTCTGCTAAAATCAGCCACATAGGAAAATGAATTATTGAATGATTCGTACTGATTTCTGAATTTTTTAAGTAGTTTGTTTTCAGATTTGTATTTTACATTGTTCTGATTTTTGGTTTGTTTGTTTGTCTTCACTAGCCTTTTATGTCACCTCGGTACCCTGGAGGCCCAAGGCCCCCACTGAGGATACCTAATCAGGTAAGATGTTGTGCTACTTTAAGTTTTTAAAAAGATCTTGGAAGTATCAAAATATAATATCATCTATTTCTGGTAATGTGTATTTACTTGAAGATCACATAGCCAGCCTTTGTGCTGACTGGCTTTCTCAGAAGTTTTATTGGAACACAGAAAAACATACATCCTCGTGCTTTGTCTATGACTGTTTATACACTTTTATAGATTTGAGGAGTCATACTTGTGTGGCTTTCAGCCCTGCAATATTTACTATCTATGTATTTCCAGAAAAATGATTGGCTGACTTGTGGAGATAATTTTCCTAAATGTTGATCATCCTCTCAGTGAAATTTTCTATAGCATACTTTGGTTTATTTTCTATGGTATAAAATTCATATACATTGCACCTTGCTATAATTGCATGACATCAAGTAATTAGCTCTTTCTTGAAGGGCTAAGTCTAAATATTTAACAATAAATCTTCTAATTTTTTTATTTCAAGAATTTTAAGTTTCTAAAAATTTCATTTTAATGTGGTTTTAAATAATACGTTCTTACCAAAACGAATAAAGCACTTTTGTTTATTTGTAAAGAGCTTACAGTTTAGTTTTAGGATGTGAGTGGTGTGCATACTTGTATGTAGTAAAAGAAGAAATAAATGCTTAACAATGTGTCATTTTCTCTGTCATAGGTATAGTTCAGTTTTACCCAAAATAAAATAAAATCGTTTTAAGTTCTTTCCGTTCTTTTCTTTTTATTTCTGTATTTTTCATGATCAAAAATGGAGCAAGAAAGTTGCAGTTATTAATCACTTGTAGCGACAGAATTTTGGTTTTCTTATCCAAATTATTTGGAATCATGCTGAGCCAGGCAGTGGTAGAGCACATCTTTAATTCCAGTACTAAGGTGGCAGAGGCAGGCAGATTTCTGTGAGTTTGAGGTCGGCCTGGTCTACAGAGTGAGTTCCATGGCAACCTGAGCTATATAGAGACTAGACTATGTCTCAAAAAACCAAAAGGGAGAGAGGATGGGAGGAAATTATGCTGTATCTTTGAAGGTCCCAGCTCACTGGCATTCTCTGTGTCTGGTGCGCAGCTGGAAGTGCCAGCACCCAGGTGTTCCCCTCCAGAGGGAAGGAAGCTTCAGGAGAAGCCAGCACATGAGAAGCAGTCCTCTTGCCAACAGCAAGAATATTTTCACTTGCAGATTTAGTGTGCATTCAGTTTCTTGGATCAGAGAACATGCCATGAAACAGCATAGAAAAGTACACAGACTCCAAGAATACTAACATGTAGGAATCTTATTTTTCTGTGTAGATGAACATACACACACACACACACACACACACACGCACGCACGCACGCACGCACATATATATATATATATATATCAACAGATACTTGCATAGGGGTATTACCCTTTTAATTTTCTTTTTTTGTTTTTTTGTTTGTTTGTTTGTTTGTTTTTTCAAGACAGGGTTTCTCTGTGTAGCTTTGGAGCCTATCCTGGCACTCGCCCTGGAGACCAGGCTGGCCTCAAACTCCCAGAGCTCCACCTGCCTCTGTCTCCTGAGTGCTGGGATTAAAGGCATGAGCCATCAGTGCCCGGCATTAATTTTCATTTTTTAATAAAAATTATAACTGTTATACCTTCTGTTACAGTCTTCATGGTGTTTCAGACATTCCATCCCTAGCATTGTATTTTGTATAGATCAAGGAGAGTCCTGAAAATTTGAATTAGGAAACCGTGAAATTCCAGCATTACTATTCTGTAGTAATGATGAGAATATGATGTGATTATTAGAATTATATTTATTTTATGCCATTTCATTGTCATGTATAAGATACTATAGGGCAAGCATGAGGACTGTAGTTTGAATTCCCAGAGCCCATATAAAAGCTAGATTTGATGGTGGCTGAGACTTTTTGGAAGTAGAGATAAGGGAATCATCAAGACAAGCTGGCTAGAGAGACTGGTTGACTCCAGTTGGCTGGTTCTGCATCCTGTGAAAGACTTGCCTTTGCCTCGGTAATTAAAGTACGGGGCAGTCAAAGGATACCTGGCATCAGCCTCTGCCGTCAACATTTGTATGCTCACATGTACATTCACACACATGTATTCACATGTGATAACATGCATATGCACAGACACTGTGAATGCACACACACACAAGATACTGTGTTCAGTCTCAAAATCTATAGAAATTTACAAAATACAATACAAATTGAAACAGCCTATATTCACATACATTGTTCAAATTTTTGTTTTTGATAGAATTTCACTGAATAGCACAGATTGACCTCAAAATCTTGATCCTCCTGCCTCAGTCTCCTGGGTTCTCAGGTTAGGAAAGAGCCTGGTGTTTGGAAGTTCCTAAAACCACCATGTAATGACTGTTTTTGTAAAGAAGTAATCAGAAATCTCAAGTAACAGATACTTCCTGCAAGGGTGCTTTCCTCTAGAATTGGCAGTGTTTACGTTGATGCATTTTAAATATTACATTCTTGTCTAAGCATCTACACCCCATCCTCCTGCCACATTCACTTTCACTGAATTATGTTGATTCAAACATCTATTACCCAAACGTGGAATAATTTTTATTTATACAGTCTTTCAAATAATCATATTAATAGTTCAAATAATATTGTTTTGGGATGCACTTATTATATTTAGAAGCATAACCTGTTCAAACAGATGCTTTTTCAGCTTAACTATGTGTTAATTAAAGCTGAATTGGAATAACTATTTTTGTTACTAATTATAATGACATCTATTAAGCAAATATATCAACATTTTATATTTATGCTTTATTTGAGTTGATTATAATATAATGAAAATTTTTCTTGTTAGTAGATTATACAAAGTAGAAACAGAAAGTGAAGCATTCCTTTTCAGTGGCCTTGGCTAGTCATTTGGAATATGTGAAAGGTAGTCTTTAATGAACTGGGCCTCTACAATTTATATTTACTAATTATTAGGTTACATATTTTAGTTTTTCTGAAATAACTTTTATGGTTCTATATTAACTCTACAATAACTTATACTATTTATTAATAGGACTGGGTATTTGGAATATGTTACAGAGCCACTGTGTTGAGAAATAAATAGGCATAACTGCCTAAAATGAAAAAGTCAGATAACAAAGGTATACAATAGAGTGGGGAATAAATATGTATGAAAAGATCCACGAAGTAAAACTTAAATGCACAAAATATACGTGGCTCACAGTTTTATGCTGGAATTGATTCAGCTCTCAGAAGGTGCCCTCATCAGTAGTGGAAAAATCCATAAACTTAAGTGAAGTAGCTTTTTATTTCTCATGAATAAACTGCCTGAAGATAAAAGTTCATAGCATTTTTCAACACTGTTATGCAACCAGAACAGAATATATAAAGCGTGATATCAACAATAAGCTATTATCACCTGGTGGTGGTGTCACACACCTTTAATTCCATCACTTGGGAGGCAGAGGCAGACAGATATCTGTGAGTTTGACACCAGCCTGGTCTACAAGAGTTAATTCCAAGACAGCCTCCAAAGCCACAGAGAAACCCTATCTTGAAAAAAAAAAAGAATAAGCTATTATCTATTGATTTTTTAATTGCCTTATTTCTCACCATTCTTAAAATAGATATATGAGTTAAGATTACATGTAGCATACCATATTGTCCATTTTATATGCCAGGGTTAAATTTGATGCTCCAAAAACATACTGGATCTGAACATAGTATCCAGATCTTCAGGAATATCTGTCAAATATAGAAGAGCAGTTAAAGAAAGTATGATGTAAATAGTGAAATCATATATGCATATTAGAAGATCGAACAAAATCTACTTAAGTGCTACTGTGACTATAACAAATATAAGAAAGGCCGGGTGTTGGTGGCACACGCCTTTAATCCCAGCACTTGGGAGGCAGAGGCAGAGGCAGGCAGATCTCTGTGAGTTTGAGGCCATCCTGGTCTGTCTCCAGAGCGAGTGCCAGGATAGGCTCCAAAGCTACACAGAGAAACCCTGTCTTGAAAAAAAAAAACAAAAAAACAAATATAAGAAAGAAGGCACAAAACATGTAAAAATATCATTGCAGCCATGGCATTGTACAAGCTCTCTGTTCCCATCACATATACTCACATTGTGAAAAAGAGATTAAAGACCATGTACTTTATTTCTGAGTGGTAGGATTGTGAATGATTTTGCTATTTGAAAATTTCAGTGTGTCTACAGTTCACATTGAGCAGGTATTATACTTGTAGTTAGAGAAAACACTAACTGTATGTATAGAGAAATGAAAATGTTATACTTTGAATAAGATTAACCTTTTTAATATTTAACACATTATTCCTATAGTGGGAAGAAGAGAGATAGAATAGACACTATGGATATGTTAATCCTAAAAAAAGACTTAATGACTTCTCAGATAAGAAGAAAATAAGCTGACATTTGAAGCAAAGAAAGAGATATTTAGACAGTTGCAATCCCATCTCTTGAGAGGCAGAGGCAGGAGGATTGCTATGAGCGCAAGGTCAGCCTAGATTGCATAGTGAGATTTTGTCTTATAAAACAAAAATGTAGACATTCACTTATAAATTGAAATTTTACTGCCTCACCATGTACCCAAGTTGCTTACATTTCAAACAGACTTCAAACTCTTCATAGCATTTTCTCGCTGAGGGTAAGCATTGCTTCAGGCATCTGTTAGAAGTATTTTTTTAATCCTTGTAGCACATGAAAGTTGGCTTTTATTTAGTGCTATAAGAATGAAATTTAAGTTGTTTCCAGATGCATAGAGAGGAATGCATTATGTTGAGTAGGTAACACAAGCTATGCTGCTGCAACTATGAAAAATCTCAGTATCTAACCTTAAATATAAATGCTGCACTTGCTCAATGTAAGGTTAATGGCCAAACAGGTAAAGTTGCTTCTTTGGACAATTCAAAAAGCCACTTTTAATTGTAGAATGCCCTTATTTTATGGGAATTATAGTATTCATATTTTGAAATGATTATTTGAAGACAATCTGATAG